TCACTAATAGACTTCACTGAGCACTCATACTTCCCTCTTTGTGCACAAAGATAATTAATAATTTGAACTGGCAAAAAAAAAAAAAAAAATCCTAGTCTAAGGGCCTTTGTTCCTCTCTGCTTGCTTCTCTGTCTAATCCTTCTTCAAGTCCAAAATACGTTAGCCCAGTACCACTACTTTTTTTCTATTTCTCCATCTCCGGTGCCACTGTGGTCCCAGTCACCATTCTCTCTCATCTGGCCTCTTACAATGGCCTCCTCATTGCTTCCCTCTTGGCCTTGTGTACTCCCTTTGCAAGGCAACCAAAGTGGTCTTTTCACATGTCAAGTCAGTTCTCGTCACTCCCGGCTTGAAGTCCTGCAGTGGCTTCCAAATCTGATGTGAATGAAACCCCATCTCTTCACCCGGGTCACTGGAATCCGTGTGATCTGACCCATACCTACCTACTTCTCTGTCCTCAAAGTATACCACGAGTATCCCCAGTTTCCCTGTTTTTTTTTTTTTTTTTTTTCTGATCCTTTTTTTCTGAGCCAAACTAGCCTTCTTTCTATCCCCCAGCTAGCCCTCTGCCACCTCAGGACCTTTGCACATGTTGCTGTTTCTGCCTAGAGAAATTTTTCTTTCATTCCCTGTGACTGATATCATCTTGCCATCCTCAAAGAGGGCTTCTTTTTAAGTAGTTCCTTTAAAGTAGTCCCTTATTATTTATAGCCCTGGGGTTTGATGTCTTATGAAGCTCTCCAACCCCCATCATCCTTTACCATGTCACCCTGCTTATCTTTTCTTAATAACTAACTCCTAACACTATCCAAAATGTATTTCTTTTCTTATTGACAATCTCTTCTAGCTAAAAGACAAATCTCAGGAGAGGAGTCTTCTCCCCATCACCTAGAGCAGTGCCTGGCACATAAAAGGTGCTTGATATCTGTTGAGTGTAAATGAGAGTTGGATAAAACAGAAAACCTACTTTTAATTTTGACGGGAACCGGCCAAATGCCCGCTAGAAAGGTTGCGTTGACTTAACACCCTACCGACCATGTAAAATAGTGCCTTGTACATAATCCTAATTAATACCAGGTTTATTCGTTTGTAGGACCTCTTTGTAGATGTGGAGACTTATTCTTGATTGTGACATGTGTTGCAAGGTTGCAAGAGGCTTCTTCCAATTTGTCATTTTATTTATTTTAGCCTCTTAGTCTCTTAGAAGTAAGGTGTTAACGGTACAGACCACAGGCCCTGGGCTAGACTGCTGGGTTCAATCACCAGCTTTGCCTCTTGCTAGTTGTGTGAGCCTACAAGTTACTTAACTGAGCCTCCATTTCTTCATTTCTTAATGTTTATTTTTTAGAGCAAGCGAGTGGGGGAGAGGCAGAGAGAGAGAATCCCAAGCTGGCCACACACTGTCAGCTGGGAGCCCAACCCCGGGCTCGAACTCACGAACCATGAGATCATGACCTGAGCCAAAGTCAGGAGTCAGACCCTTAACCAACTGAGTCACCCAGGCGCCCCCTCCCTCTGGCTAATTATAAGGATAATTATAAACCCTTAATGCATCGGGCTGCATTAAATGAACTGATATTTGTCAACGGCTTGGAACAATGTTTGGCATGTGGTTAAGTATTATAAAGTGCTAGCTGTTATCATTTACAGCCCTGGGGTCTGATGTCTTATGGGGCTTTTCCCAACCTCCGAGATTATAAAAATATTTTCCTATACTTTCTTCTTATACTTTTATAGTTCTATTCCATACATTTAGATCTTTAACCCATCTGGAATTTATTTTGTGTAAGGTGTGAGATGGAGACAGAACTTTTTTCTCCCAAATGAATAGCCAACTGTCTCAACCCAATTTAGTGAATATGCCATTCTTTCCCCATTGACTTGAAATGCTGCCCTGTGTGTCTGTATCTGGACATTCTATCCTGTTTCACTGCTCTGCTTAGTATTACTGCACCGATAACACAATTTTAATTATTGTGGCATAATAAATTACCTTAGCGGTAAGACAAATGCCTGCTTTATTCTTATTTTTTCAGAATTATCCTGGCTACACTTGCAACTTGATTCTTATGATCATTTAGAATTAAGTTCCCCCCAAAAAGTCCTATTGCTATTTATTTTTTTATTTTTATTTATTTCTTAATTTTATTTATTTTTTAAATTTACATCCAAATTAGTCAGCATATAGTGCAACCATGATTTCAAGAGTAGATTCCTTAGTGTCCCTTCCCCATTTAGCCCATCCCCCCTCCCACACCCTCCAGTAACCCTCTGTTTGTTCTCCATATTTATGAGTCTCTTATGTTTTGTTCCCCTCCCTGTTTTTATATTATTTTTGTATTCCTTCCCTTATGTTCATCTGTTTTGTCTCTTAAAGGCCTCACGTGAGTGAAGTCATATGATTTTTGTCTTTCTCTGACTAATTTCACTTAGCATAATACTCTCCAGTTCCAGCCACGTAGTTGCCAATGGCAAGATTTCATTCTTTTTTGATTGCCGAGTAATACCTCATTGTATATATATATATATATATATATATATATATATATATATATACCACGTCTTCTTTATCCATTCATCCATCGATGGACATTTGGGCTCTTTCCAGACTTTGGCTGTTGTCAATAGCGCTGCTATAAACATGGGGGTGCATGTGTCCCTTCGAAACAGCACACCTGTATCCCGTGGATAAATGCCTAGTGGTGCAATTGCTGGGTCGTAGGGTAGTTCCATTTTTAGCTTTTTGAGGAATCTCCATACTGTTTTCCAGAGTGGCTGCACCAGCTTGCATTCCCATTATTTATTTATTTTTAAAGTCTAATCAGGTGCAGTAGTGAGAAAGGGTTGGGGGGAGGGAGTCAAATGAGGAGTTCGATCGGACTGGGAACAATCACTTGAGATAAGTCACGACCTTTGGACCAGCCTCCCACTGCTATTTTCATATGGTGTTAAATCTAAGGACAACTTGTAAAGAAATGACATCTTTATACTGATGGTTTTTCCCATCATTATAAAGTAAGATGGTGTATCTCTTTCATTCTTTCTAGTCTTCTTTAGTATCTTTCTGAAATTTTCTTTATATTAGTATCTTTTAATGCAGTCGCGTTCGTGTCATAAGACCACTACCCTTCAGTTCCAAAATCACTTTAGAGAGGTAGCAATATAGGTCTCATTACCTTCTTCTGGTCATGACCCTTTGACAAAAGTGATTCGTGAGTCTGAATTGTTTTAAATTTTTTTTAATTTTTGAGACAGAGAGAGACAGAGCACGAGCAGGGGAGGAGCAGAGAGAGAGGGAGACACGGAATCCGAAGCAGGCTCCAGGCTCTGAGCTCTCCGCACAGAGCCCGATGCAGGACTCAAACTCACGGAGTGTGAGATCATGACCTGAGCCGGAGGCACCCTGTGATTTGTGAGTCTAAAAGAAGTGTCCCATCTACAGCTTGAAAGGTGTGAAAAGCGAGCTTAGAAGGTGGCGATGGAACTGAGAGCCTGTGTTCGAGCCTTAAAGGTGATCTCAGAAACTGTCGTGATGTGCATATTACTTTTTGTCACATCGAAAATGGAGGGGGAGTGTGAAGTTAGTTCACCTGGCTGGGAAGGACGGGGGGAGAATGGGAAAAGAGATGGAAGGAAGAAGGAGAAATACATGAGCCCCTTAAGTCCAGAAACGTCAGGAATCCACCATCCTCCCCCGTCTCTAGAAATGACTCTCAGCCCAGCCCCTCCTCCCTTTCACTCCATCATTCACCATCTCTTGACTAGTTTTAGTCTAGACAACCTTGCCCCGCTCTCTCCATCCTCCACCTTGCCCGGAATTATCCTCCTAAAGGGAGAAGTCTCATCATGCCGGTCTTTTGCTTGAAAAAAAACCACTACTGGATCCATGTGCCCTCCCCCACCCCGCCTCCTCCAGGGAGGACCTCAGTCTCGTTCCTTCACCGGCTCTGCAGAATCCTTCACACTCTGTTCCAGTCGCTCTCCTCCCATCGACCCCCACGAACACTTCAGAACAGGACGTGCCTTGCCTTTCTCTGGGGGAACACCCTTTCTGCCCACCCGTCAGAAAGATTGTCCTCAAATGTCTCCTCCTTCGGACAGCGTACAGTCCCCTCCGTCCCTGCCCCAGTCAAGCGCTGGCAGTCGCTGTGTCTTCTGAGTCATACCTCTTTTCTTGTATTCTTGGGATCATGATGCCTGTTTATGGGTCTCCCGAACTGTACTAGGGAAGCGGGGGCCATGTTAACTCGTGTCTGTGTCCCCATCGCCCAGCACGGTGACTAGCACATTACAGGCATGGATGGACGCACGGATGCTCGCTGCAAAGACGGCAGATGGAAAGGCCTGGGTGGTCAGAGAAATTAGGCAAAGGAACCCCGCGAAGACCAAAGACGGACACCAGAGGGCGCTGACACACCACGACCGAGAGGCGGGAGGGCGGGCCAAGGCTGCGAGCACGCGCGAGCGGCGCGCGCTGAAGCGAGCATCACGCAACTGGAACCGCTCACCCACGTGTGCGTCCCCGAGCCCTCCTTCCCAGACTGTGCCGGCGCCCGCTCCTCCGCCCCCGCCGCCTCCCTCGCCTCCGCCGCCGCCGAGAAAGCAAACAAAGGGGAGGGGACCCCCTCCGCGTCCTGGACGCGGGGAGCCAATCAGCGGGCTCTAAGCTCCCGGCAGGCGGGCGCCGTCGTTCCAGGGGACCCAATCGTTCCTAAGCGGGTGCGGAGGGGCGGAGAGATGGGCGGGCAGAGCGGGGAGCAGGGACCGCGCGCGCGGGAGGGACCCCCGCCCCTTCCTACCGCTCGGGACGGCGGGAGGGGCTGCGGAGGGGCGGGCGCGGGGGCGGAGCCAATCAGCGCGCGGGTCTGAGCGGAGGGGGCGGGCGGCGGCGCGGCGCGCGCGAGCCGGGATGACGCATCTGGCCGCGGTTCCCCGGGCCCGGAGGGGGGCCGGAGGGGCGGGGGGGGGGGGGAGGAGAAAGAGCCGCGCGTGCGCAGTGGCGCGGGGAGGAGCGGGGACCTGGCAGCAGGGCTGCGAGGCTGCGAGCGAGCCGCGGACCGGGCGGGCGGCGGGCGCGCGCACCATGGGGGAGAAACCGGGCACCAGGTAAGGGAGGTGGGGCCACGCGGCGGGACGTGGGCGGCGGCTCGGAGCTGGTGCCGGGACGGTCCCCAGACAAGGACACCCGGGAGAGAATCCGGGGGCCGGACGCCTGGGTCCCTAGGGGGCAGCCATCCGGGGCCGCACGCCCAGGTCCTCGAGGATAACGAGGGGGACGCATGCCGTGCCCCTGTGCAGAAAGCGAGGGCTGAAGGGGACCAGGAAACCGGCGCCTGGGTTCTCGTAGGGATGTGGGGGCCGAACGACTGGGCTCTCCGGTGCGGGCTGCGATGCAGGGGCGGAGGAAGGAGGAGCAGGTGGCCAGCCCCGAGGGGTCGGGCATGGGGAGGCTGGATGCCGGGAGGAGATCCCCCCTCCCCAGACTCGTCCCGAGCTGCTGGAAAGCCTCCTGTCCAATGCCCCACGGGCAGTCGGGCTGTCCCAAGGGCCAGGTGGCTCTGCTTCCAAACTTCTGCCTTACCCCAGGTTGCCAGGAGCAACAGCTTCATCTTGGGGGAGCGGAGTGCATGACGACCCTCCCCGCTTCTGGGCCTCACTCCTCTTCCCGGAGGTGAGGGAAGCCAGTATCTGCCCTGGGCACGCCATCCACTCCCCGGATGTTTTCTGTGCAATCGAGGCTCCTTCCTTCCACTGATACCCCGAGTTCTCTTTTTTGGTCTCTAGCAAAATCCACTTCCTGTTGTGGCCCAGCACCCCCAAGGGGGCAGTGGGTGAATGCCCGAGTCCCTGGGGAGCAGGAGGAAAAGAGGAGAAGATTGGGGCTGTGTGCCTCTGTCCAGAAGGGATCGGGAACAGGGCCCTGGTACCAGGCTGTCACTTGTTCCGCCAAAGACGATCACAGGAGCCCCGCCGCTCCCCAGCCACAGAGTAGGAGAACCCAGGCTTCTGAGCAGCAAGTCGAGCAGTAGTGGAGAGAGATGACCAGAGGGAGGCCTGATGTCCCGCATCAGGGCTCAAACACCCCCCGGAGAAAGGGGAAGTCGCTGACTTGAGGGAGGCCCCCAATTTCCGTTATGTGGTTCAGGGAGGGGAATGGATGGACCAGAGGGGGGACTGCTGACTTGGCACAATTCCCGCCACCCCCATCCAGTTCTGGGCCACAGGAAACGGAGAGAACATCTGCTTCTGCGGGCCCCCTCCGGTCACCCCCATGATCTGCCTCCTTGGCCAGCCTCGGGTGGGTCAAGAGGTGGTGCTTTCTTCTAGCTGCCGCCGTATCAGCGCTTTCTCCCTTATTGCATGGGGATACCCAGGGACTTCCATACCCTTTGCCTTATGGCCTTTGGATATCTTGACCTTCTGGGAAGAAGGGGGAAGTGAAGTTGTAAGAGCAAAACTAGGTGGGGAGAAGGCAGCGTTGGAGGAAGGGTGGGCCGGTTGGCAGGAGATCCGAGGACCCTTCCAGGGATTGGGATAAGTGACGTCAGGCCCGCCAGTGGCCAGAGCACAGGGGTCTCTGGACAACTACCTACCCTCTCAGCAACGGGTAGAGTCCGGGCTTCGAGTGTTTCAGCTCTGGGAAGCGAGAATCCCCCTCAACTCAAGGAACTTAAGCCCAACTGCAGAGACAGGAGAGTGTAACGGCTTCCTGACAAAGAGCATGGGCTCAGAGCCAGACTGCCTCTGATTTATCTGAATCCCACCATTCACTTGCTCTGGGGCCTTAGGCAAAATCCTTCCCCTCTCCTGTGCCCTGGTTTTTCCTCACCTGTGAAATAGAACTATTAGGCCCTCCATCGTTGGGCTGCTAAGACTATTAAATGAGATAACACATGCCCCCGCTAAATGTCAGCCCGCACCATCATCTTCATGGTCCGGCGGGCATTGTGCCGGGGATGCCCGACTGGATGAGGTCTGTGACGTCCACGGTCTACCTAGTGACACATGGTCCACAGCTAACTGCCCGGACACGCTATCACAAGTTTTACCACCAGTGAGACATCAGCAAGTGTGACGGGAACCCCCCGAAGAAAGGGGGGTAACGGGAGTCCGGGCTGGCTCTGCCTTCTGGAGGAGGTGATGTCTGGGCTCGGCCTTCAAAGACAAGTGAGCTTCGAGGCTGCTGAGATCAGGGATGGGGAACCCTTGGAGGTTAACGGAGTAGGGCCGCGCTTAAGTAGTGCCTCCAGGTAGAAACCATTTCAGGAGCAAAAGCCAGGGCCACTGCCCTCCAGGTACTCTGGCTGTCTTTGGAGCCCAGAGAAGACAGGTGGAGGGTTCGGTCTTAGACCGACACAACTACCACCTGCCTATTCGGGTCCCTCCGGGGGATGTCCTCTGGGAAGAGCCTGGGTGGTTTCTGGGCAACCAGTGACTACTGACTGCCACAGGAGGGGACCTAGAGTGAGAGTGCACGGAGGAGGGGGGGGCCCGGGAACATTAAGGACCTATGGCCGCCCTTCTGGTGAGAAGTGGGAGGGGTAGGGCTGGCAAAGCCCGGAAGCCTCCGGGCTGAATCCTGGGGGCGGGCGAACCCTGCTTCTCAGGCCGGCTCGGGAGGTCCCTGCCGAGTCTGACGGAGGCAGTGGGGCTTCCCTTTCTGTTTTGTTAGGGTCTTCAAGAAGTCGAGCCCTAACTGCAAGGTGAGTCGGTCTGCCATGCTGCCTCTCCTCCCAGCCCTCTGTGGGCCCGAGCAAGGCCCGGCCCGCGCCTAGATGATCCCCAGCCTCTAGCCCCCACTTCCTGTGACAGCTGAGAGCCCACTTCCTTCCCTCCTGAAGCCCCTTGCCGCCGCCGCCGCAAAGGCTGCTCGCCCCTGCACTCAGCCAGGGGCTGGGTGGGGACCGGCCTGAGGCCAGATGAAGGGGGAGGAGCCCCAAGCCCCAGCTGTGACCCTCTTAGGAGCCGAGCTCAGGGTGCCTGGGGTGGGAACAGTTAGCACCCCCCAGGCTATGGCCTGTGTATCCCAGAGGAGTGACACCACAGCCTGCTTTCTAACTGGCTGCCTGGGGCAAGTCCTCCCCAAGCCCCACCACCCCACCCCACATACACACACGCACACATGCACACGCGTGCACACACACACACTTGCTTGACTTGTGGGCAGAGGTGTGACAAAAGCCTCAAGGTCGGGTAGTCTGGGAAACCCCACTATTGTCCCCCGCTCTGAAGGAAACCCCGGGGGACACCCCAGCCTGGGGAGGCCATGGGCAGGACGGCCCCTCCAGGGTTCTGCTGCCCTGCACCCGCCTGCCCTGTCTTCCCTGTGTCCCTTCTGCATCCTCAGCTCACCGTGTACTTGGGCAAGCGGGACTTTGTAGACCACCTGGACAGAGTGGACCCCGTAGGTAAGTGTGCCCACGTCCCCCAAGAGGGGAAGAAGTCCCCGGGCCGAGGGATGGAGGAGAGGCCCTGGCAGGAAATGAGCTCATGCAGCGGCGTCCCTTTCCCAGATGGCGTGGTGCTCGTGGACCCTGACTACTTGAAGGACCGCAAAGGTACCGGCCGAGGGGAGGTCGGGGCGGCAGAGGAGGACGGGGCCCCAGAAAGAGGGCGGAGAAGGCAGTGGGAGTGGGATTCGGGCAGGTTTCGCGCTGCCCAGGAAGGAGCCGCTGCGGCTAGGTGCTGGGGGGCTGGGGAAGGGGGGGCCCTGACCGCCCCGCCCGGCCCTCCCTCGCCAGTGTTCGTGACCCTCACCTGCGCCTTCCGCTATGGCCGCGAGGACCTGGACGTGCTGGGCCTGTCCTTCCGCAAAGACCTGTTCGTCGCCACCTACCAGGCCTTCCCCCCCATGCCCAACCCGCCCCGGCCCCCCACCCGCCTTCAGGACCGGCTGCTGAGGAAGCTGGGCCAGCACGCCCACCCCTTTTTTTTCACAGTGAGGACGCCCCTCACCCTCTGCAGGGCAAGGGGTCTGGGACTGAGGTGGGGGGAGGGGTTGGCCAGGCGCCTGCCAGGTGCAGATCTAGAAGAAGGGTGGGGGGGGGAGCAGACCCACCTCCCTCACTGTGCCTGCCTTCAGGAAGCCCTTGTCTCTGTCTCCTCCCAGGGGCCCCTTCCTTCTTACTTTCTCACCCCCCGGCCTCCTCCAGCCTCTGAGCTGAGATCGGGAGAGAGATTTGGGGGCTCTCTGGGAGAACTGAAGCCTCCCCTTTCCTCTGCTGCAGATCCCCCAGAACCTGCCCTGCTCCGTCACGCTGCAGCCGGGCCCAGAGGACACGGGGAAGGTACAGCAGGAAAGGCTCTGAGGGCTCCTGGGACAGAACAGGGCCCAGTAGGAGCCTGGGGCACACCCGAGAGGGGGGCTGTCAGGGAGAAGCGGGGTGGGAACCGTCCCCAGTGCAAATACGGTGTGTGTGGGAGGGTCACGGCTCACGTGTGACTCAGGAGCTGCACGCCCATGGGGAGTACGGGGGCTCACCCGGAACAGCCCTGGGGCTCACTCGGCCAGGTACTGGGCCTTTAGCAGAGGCGGGGGGACGGAGCCCCAGGCCCCACACTCCTCAGACTGTGATGGGGCAAGAGTCCCTGATGAAGAGGAGGGAAGGAAGGGCGTGGTGGCAGAGGGGACCTTGTGTAAGACGTGACCTTTTCTCCTCCTCCTGAGGCCTGTGGAGTAGACTTTGAGATTCGAGCCTTCTGTGCCAAATCGCTAGAAGAGAAAAGCCACAAAAGGTGAGGGAACTGAGCTCCTGTATGGTTTGATCATGTCCTCCCCTCTCCCAGGAGCCCCAGGCCCGTGGGAGGTGGTGGTGGTGGGGGGGGCGGCCTGGGTGTCTGAGGCCCGGCCCCTCCCACCCCTCCTCCCCACCCCCAGGAACTCTGTGCGGCTGGTGATCCGAAAGGTGCAATTTGCCCCAGAGAAACCTGGCCCCCAGCCCTCAGCAGAAACCACACGCCACTTCCTCATGTCTGACCGGTCCCTGCACCTCGAGGCATCCCTGGACAAGGAGGTGGGGTGCAGGAGGGTGACGCAGGTGCTACAGTGCAGAGGGATCCCCGGGGGAGGGCTGGAGCAGCATGTCAGGGCAGCACGTCCACCGGGCTTGGGCCTGGGTTTAGAGGAAGAGGGAGCCACGTGTCTGCGTGGCGGGAGGGGGGCACGCTAATAACAGGGACCCGCAAAAATCGACCGCATCCCCTCAAAAGCTGTACTACCACGGGGAGCCCCTGAACGTCAACGTCCACGTCACCAACAACTCCACCAAGACCGTCAAGAAGATCAAAGTCTCTGGTAGGAGGTGGAGGATTGAAGGGGGTCTCGGGGGAGCGATTTTCAGCCCCAGGACATACCCTGACGTGAGAGGTCCAGCCGGGGGGCGGCAGGGGGCCGGCTGGTGGTCCGAGTGCGGCGGGCGGCAGTCTGCGCCCCCTGCTCAGCCGCTGAACCCCCGCCCCCACCCCACAGTGAGACAGTATGCCGACATCTGCCTCTTCAGCACCGCCCAGTACAAGTGTCCTGTGGCTCAGACCGAACAAGAGTGAGTATCAGAATGGCCTCGGGCCCCCGCCTCAGAGCAGAACAGCAGGCCCCGGAGGGTGTGAGGTGGGGATGGCATTGTCCCCAACTGTCTCCACCTACGGGGGCCTTCCCTCCGCAGGCTGGTGGCTCTGAGCCGTTCGCTTCCTTGGGCGGGTCGAGCTGTGCCCAAAGAGAGAAGGGCTGGCGTGGGGTCGAAGCCCCTGGGGGTGGGAGCGACCTCGTCACCTGGCCCGGCCCCTCCTGGAGCCTCGTCCTCTCGCCCCCGCTCCCCAGTGACCAGGTGTCGCCCAGCTCCACGTTCTGCAAGGTATACACCATCACCCCGCTGCTCAGCGACAACCGGGAGAAGCGGGGTCTTGCCCTGGACGGGAAGCTCAAACACGAGGACACCAACCTGGCTTCCAGCACCATGTGAGGGGGGGCGGGGTGGGGGCAGGGGGTTGGCCTGCAGACCAGGAGCCACTGGCGCGGTCAGTGCCGGCTGCGCCTCGGGCTCTGTCCTGGGAGCCAGGGCTGTGTCCGGGCACAGGACAGACCGGAGATGCTAGGCAGGGCGGGCGGGCAGATCGGAGACCGGCGTTGAGAAAAAGCAAGGCAGAGAAGACAGATATAAGGCAGGGGTGTGGGTAGGGGGGGTGTTAACTTTAAGCAGGGTGGCTGGGGAAGGCATAACCCAGATGTGAATTCGGAGTAAGGACCCAGAGGCACAGGAGTCGTGCCTACGCAAGGAAGGGGTGTTCCGGGCAGAGGGAGCGGCAGGCCCACTCCAAGGTGGCCCGGGCCCGGTCTGTGGGAGGAAGCAAGAGGGAGGGGCTGTGGCACCTCTGGGCGGGGGCAGCCCCCAACGGCCACAGCTTCGCAGAGTCAGGGCTGGGTCCTATTCTCCCCCCCCCCCCCCAGCCCTGGCACCCGTGTGTGAGGGCACGCTGCATGAGCACACACAGCGGGCCGGAGGCCAGCATGGCGACAGCGAACCACAGGACGGGTCGGGGTGGGGTCAGGGTAACAGAACTAGACAGTGCGGACTGTCAGGTCACAAGGACTTCAGCTTTTACTGCGAGCGATGAGAAGCCACCAGAGGGTTCTGTGCAGAGGGGTGCTTGGCCGTGAGGAGAGCACAGCCCTGGCGGCCAGCGCCCGGACACTGATGGGAGCCCGCGGGGGAGACCTCGGGGCGCAGGGGTGCGGGGGGGGGGGGGGGGGGGGGGGGGGGGGGGTCGCCCTGTTTCCCGGGGGGGGCCGGGGTGGCCCCTCATGCTGCGTCCCCCCCCCCCCCCAACCCAGGGATGTCTCTGTGGAGCTGCCTTTTGTCCTCATGCACCCCAAGCCCCACGATCACATCACCCTCCCCAGGCCCCAGACAGGTGAGTATGCCACCCACCCCGAGCCCCCAAAGGGACGGCCTGAAGCCAGGCCGGTGGAGAAAAGCCAGCCCTTCCGGCGGGGGGGGGGCCGCCCCCTCTCCTCGCTTCAGCTGCTCCTGAGACAGACGCCCCCGTGGACACCAACCTCATTGAATTTGACACCAAGTAAGAGACCCTCCCCTGCCTTCCTAGTCTGAGCCCTTTGGACAGGGATTCCGGGACTCCCAGACCTGCCCTCTCCCCGCGGTCCCCTGTGGGGGCGGGCGAGGGCTGGAACATCACCTCCCCAGGGCCTAGCCTTCCGTGGGAGGCTGCCTGCCACCATCCCTTCTTTGTCCCTTCTCGCCCACACGACCAGTCCTGTTGCTCCTGGGGCCCCCCTGTCTCTGGGAGGGCGGCGGGGGCACCGAGAAGAGGGTCTTGAGCCCTCACCTCACCCCTGCTTCCCACCGTCAAGCTACGCCACAGACGACGACATCGTGTTCGAGGACTTCGCCCGCCTGCGGCTGAAGGGGATGAAGGACGAGGATTACGAGGACCAGTTCTGCTAGAGGGGGGGGAGGGGGAGGGGGCGGGGCCGGAGGGGGAGGGTCCCAGCCCGGCCGCCCTCCCCGCGCTCAGCACCGAGTCCTTGGCGGACCCCTTCGTCCTCCCTCGCCTGTGGCTCCCGGACACGCACTGGACCCTTCTCTTGTTGACCGTGGGCATTACTTGTTTGACCCCAGCTGTGCCTCCACAGCCCCCCCCAGCCGGTGGCTCAAACCTGCATCTTCTGGAGGGGGTCCTGGAAAGGGGAATGACAGTAGGGAGAAGGGGAGAGAGCTCCCACATCCGACATCCCCCCCCCCCCCCCGCCCCACACACACACACTCTCTGCCTCCTTCTCCTTCAAGAGGAGACCCTGGGGTGGGGGGCGAGGCCACTTCTTTGTTTCTGAGCATAAAGAAGAAAATAAACGTTTTAATAGGCGCGAGTGTATGTGCTTTCCGTGCAGCTGCTGAGGGCACACAGGTGCTCGTCTGTGACTTGTGCTCGTGGCCGAGCACCCAGCCAGCCTCTCCTGTGTCCCGGCACAGTGCCGGGCACAAGGCTTGTCAATAAACGTCCCATCGAATGGGCTGTGACTGTGTTCCAAGGGTAACACAGAAACTGACTCGGTCAGTCCAGACTCACAGGTACCGTTTGCTAAAGCCACGAAATACACTTAGTCATTTGTAGGGGAAATAGAAACTCACTTCCTGGGACGCCTGGGTGGCTCAGTCGGTCGAGCGTGACTCTTGATTTCAGCTCAGGTCATGATCACAGGGTCGTGGAATCGAGCCCCATGTTGGGCTTGGAGCCTGCTTAAGATTCTCTCCCTCTGCCCCTCTTCCCTGCTCACTTGCTTTCTCTAAAATGAAATAAAATTTGGGGCGCCTGGGTGGCTCAGTCAGTTTAGCGTCTGACTTCAGCTCAGGTCGGGATCTCACAGCTCATGGGTTCAAGCCCTGCGTCGGGCTCTGTGCTGACAGCTCAGAGCCTGGAGCCTGCTGCGGATTCTGTGTTTCCCTCTCTCTGCCCTTCCCCCACTCATGCTCGCTCTCTCTCTCTCTCTCTGTCTCTCTCTCTCTCAAATAAACATTAAAAAAATGTTAATGAAATAAAATTAAAAAAAAAAAAACCTCACTTCCCTGTAGACCAGCCACCCTTGGGAGTTGGGCAGACAGACGCTTCCCTATCGCCGCTGACACGTGACCGTGCAGTGACCTGCTGTGACAGTGTGTCCATCTCCACCGCTGTGTGACTGCTCACCCACTCCGTTCCTGGGGCTTGGTGGGAGCCTCCCCCGCCCCGGCCTCACCGGACATCCCACGGGGCCTGCCTGGCCACCCTCATTCTCACCCAGAAGCCAAGGCTTGGGCGGCCGGCGGGGGTCACCGCTGTGGGCAGGTCCCAGAGGCAGCCCCCTGGAGCTCCTCAGGCACTCCCTGAGGCTTGGCCACTGTCCCAGGCTGGGCGACGGGGACCGAGCGCCACCCCACTGGCGTGCCTCACCTCCGTCACCCACTCTGTCACCCACCCGTCCTCCCCTTTTTCTCTTAAGGCCCAATCATCCGTTCCATGAACGAGATCTTGGCGTTAAGTCCCTCTTAGGTGCCAGGCCTAGCAGAGGGGCGTGGCAGGGACCAAAGCAAACACGAAACCACTGCCTAGTTATCTGATGACAGCATGTGTGCTCTGAAGGAGCAGCACAGGAGGCACGAGAACGCCCTCGCAGGGAACCCGCGGGCGAAGAGGAGCCGGAGCATCCCGGGCACCGAGTGCGAGCGCAGGGACAGGGCGCGTTCCAGGCACTAAAAGAGGCCAGAGGGCCTGAGGGGCAGAGACGGCCAAGGGCAGAGTAGTTCCAGATGGGGCTGGGGGGCCGGCGGGGCAGCTCACACAGGCCTCTAGCCTACGGCTCACCGCCTCACGTCAGACCACCATTTACCCACAGGTCTGAGTCCTGTCAAAACGCCAGTGACCTCGTGCGCCCCTCTGCAGAGGCCGCCGCCCCACCCACCCTGGCCTTTGGTCACAGAGGAGGAACCGCTGGCATCCCTCTGGTTCCCCGGAGCTCGCTCGTTGGCCCACGGCCCTCTCGACCTTCTCAGGGGGATCGGGGCCCTCTGGGAGGCACAGTGAAAACGCGGAGCCCCAGGCTCTCCCTTCCCAGACTCTGGTTCGGCAGGTCCCAGGAGGAACCCACCAGTGTGGATTTGGGGAACTGACACACAATTTGAGAAACAGTGTCTTGGGGTGCCTGGGTGGCGCAGTCGGTTAAGCGTCCGACTTCAGCCAGGTCACGATCTCGCGGTCTGTGAGTTCGAGCCCCGCGTCGGGCTCTGGGCTGATGGCTCGGAGCCTGGAGCCTGTTTCCCATTCTGTGTCTCCCTCTCTCTCTGCCCCTCCCCTGTTCACGCTCTGTCTCTCTCTGTCCCAAAAATAAATAAACGTTGAAAAAAAAAAAAAAAGTAAGGCAAGACTGTGTATATTCACTCTTGCCTTTCTTTGAGAAAGTGTCTTCTTTTTTTAAGCTTTTTATGTTTTTTAATGTTTTTTTTTCAACGTTTATTTATTTTTTGGGGACAGAGAGAGACAGAGCATGAACGGGGGAGGGGCAGAGAGAGAGGGAGACACAGAATCGGAAACAGGCTCCAGGCTCTGAGCCATCAGCCCAGAGCCCGACGCGGGGCTCGAACTCCCGGACCGCGAGATCGTGACCTGGCTGAAGTCGGACGCTTAACCGACTGCGCCACCCAGGCGCCCCTAATGTTTTTAAAAAGGAAAAAGGGGCACATGATTTAAACAAACAAACATCGGAACCGTATGCGACGCTAAACTAAAGAGAAGGCTCCCTCCCATCCTGATCCCCAGCCAAGCCCTTCCTCGTTCCCAGAGGAATCACTATCGGCCATTCCTTGGTTATTCTTCCGAAGATGCTGTTCAGACTCAGTCACACCTGTCTGAGTGGAATACATATTTTGCACTGTTTTGAACGGACAGCAGCGTACCGTGAGCCCTTTTCTACACCTGCCTTTTTCCCTGGTGGTGAGGCGGGGAGAACATTCCTTTCTGTAGCGATACATATAGATCTCCCTCATTCTTTTTTTTTTTTTTTTTTAATGTTTATTTATTTTCGAGACACAGAGGGAGACAGAGCATGAGTGGGGGAGGGGCAGAAAGAGAGGGAGACCCACAATCCGAAGCAGGCTCCAGGCTCCGAGCTGTCAGCACAGAGCCCGACGCGGGACTCGAACCTGTGAACCGCGACCCCATGACCTGAGCCGAAGCTGGACACCCAACTGACTGAGCCACCCAGGCGCCCCAGGACAACTTCTTAAAAGCAGACTTGCTGGGTCAAAGAAGGTGAGCGTCTTTTGGATTCTACCAATCAAGCAGGTGAGAGACACGGTATCATCTGAGTTTTAATTTGCATTTGTTTGATGATGAGTGAGGATAAAACCCAATTTATTGGGGCACTTTATTTTTAATGTATCCTCAGGGCTCTTCTATACTAAAAAAATAGAGCCTTGGTCATATATCTTGTAAATATTTTTCCCGATTTGTCATTATCTTTTGAATTTGTTTCTAGGGTTTTTGTTTTGTTTTGTTTTGTTTGTTTGTTTGTTTTTGTTTTTTGGCAGAGGGTATTTTTTTTTTTTTTTTACTAAGGTAAAATTCATATAACATAAAATTAACCATTGTAAAGTATACAGTTCGGTGGCATTTAGTGCACTCACAATGTTGTGCAGTCATTCAAAGTATTTTGTTTCTGATATTTTATTTTTATTTGAGTGACAGAGAGAGAGAGCAAGCAGGGGAGAGGGGCAGAGGCAGAGAGAATCCACACTCAGCGCGGAGCCCGACACGGGGCTCAATCCCAGGATCGTGACCTGAGCCCAAATCAAGAGCCGGATGCTCAACCAACTGAGCCACCCAGGTACCCCTGCTTCTGACATTTTTAATAATTCACTTCTTACTGGCTTCTTGGGGTTTTTTGTCTCGAAGTTCTTGGCCCTTCTGCTCCCTTGCAATTGGAGATTTTCTTTCCAGACTGAACTTGGAGCCCACGATACCAACCGGATCTCATCAGCACCCTCAACCTCTTTCAAACACCTGCTCTCAACACCCACCCCCACCCAGCCCCCGGCTCTGTCCACCCACCACCGTGAGCGCCCCGCTCCAACACAGGGCCAGGGAGCGCTGCCAGAGAAAAATCACACAACCACATGCATTCATTCATTCACTCATTCATTCACTCATTCATTCAACAAATGCTTTTTAACACCTGCTACGTGCCAACACTACGGGGCACTGGGTACACATTTGGGGCCACTGCCAGTTTATGGTCTCTAACCTCGGCTGGGCCCTCAATTCCTGGTGACCCTTCGTCCTTCTCTGTGTTCCTGGTCACCTCCCTCTCGGGCTCAAGTCCCACTGACTACATTCCAAACCTTCCTCACGCTCATAGCGAACAACCTTCTGTGGTTCATGGAGATGAGGCTAACGGGAACGAATGATTTCAATTTCCCGCCTCCTCCCCACGAACACGGACATCGATCCCGATTCTCTGTACAGCCAAGGTCAAGCTGCCTTCTCCCGTCCAAAGCTCATCCCGCCCCCTGTGCTCAGATCTCTCCCCTCCCAAGTCCTCTGAGACCCTGATTCATCAAACCACCCCCCCCGCCGAACTTCAACCGTTGCCCCTCTCTACTGGTTCTTCCTCCAAGGTCCGTAAACCCTCACAAGTCGCTTCTATTCAAGGAAGGAAGGACACCGGAGAAAAGACACTCTTCCACACGAAGCAAATCCCTATTCATTTCCTCCTTACCATTTCACTTTTACTGCGCTGTTATGTTCCAAGTTATATGTGCACACAGCTTAGGAAGTCGGGTGCAACAAGGCCTATACCCCTTCCCTCTCCGGCTCCTTTCTCCTCACGGGCAACCGCTTGCACCCCCTTCGGATGTTTCTTTCGGTATTCACCTCCAGATCTCCAAACAATGTGCTTCTGTTGCTGCTTCTTGATTTGTAAGCATCACCTACCGGCGTCCCAGCACACGAGGTGAAGACTGAGCTCCCGTCTGCCCCTCCCCCCCGCCGGGGAACCCTTGCCATCCTGCCCGGGCATCCCATCCTGGGGGGTGGGGGGGGTGGTTGGGTCAATACTCAATATTTCCATTGTTATGCTCACACACCCGTCATCTACGGTTGTCACGTGCGGGATATCGATGATCTCTCTCTTCTAGTTTCCCCTGAATAACTATCATTTCAAGAATCTGCTTTTTCTCTGAATTCATCACTAAGGCTGCCCTGTACTCTCCCCCCAAAAGTCTATATATCCTCTCAGGACGTGCAACACAAAACAGACGCTTATCTCTTCCCTCTCCGAGAAGACAGCCTTCCAGAAGCCTCCTTCACCTGCTCCGGGCTGAGCGGGCCATTCTCCATG